TGTTTATGAATCGGTTATCACATTAATGACTGTGATTAACAGGAAATAAACATCATTACCTCTGCTTCATTGTCTGTGTTTCCTCCTCTGCTGCTGGTGTTGTCCTCCTTCAGTTCATTTCTATTATCATTCCCCGTGGCTGCTGCTCCAGTTCGGCAGATTTCCAGGCCTCCGTCTGCTGGATAAACTCCATTTTTTCCTGCTGAAGAACTTCAGCACCCAGGCTGTTTTCCTGTGAAAGGAAACCGCTTGGAGGGCTTTAAATTAGGTTTACAAAAAGAAAGCCTCTTCTTGTTTATTTTGCCCAGATTATTTTGCCTGAGTGCAGCACTAAGTAGATGAAGTGTCATCGTATATCATTAGGGTCTAAACAGTCAACTCTAGTATCAAGTATTATATAAAGCAGGGACTTGATAAAGAAATATGACGAAGAATAAGAGGCTGATTTTTGTACCAAAAACACTCAGATATATATCAGAGAATATAGCTAGCTCTATATATCCCATTAAACATTAATTCAATAATGCATATCTAACCTTGTGCCATTTGGGCTATTCTGTCAGTTTGTTGTAGCCCTTCCATCTTTTTGCAGGTTAGTTAGTTGTTTAATCACTGTCTCCTCAGTCTTCTTTATCAATCATCTTTTAATTGATTGCTTTGGTTGGTTGTGGGGCCACTCATCTCATTGTTTGAGCTTTCGATCAGCTTGTCAGATGGATGCCTAAATGATTGATTTGCTGGCTGTTTTTTGGTTGGTTGTTTGTCAGCCCTTTCTCAGTGGGTTCGTTAGTTGTCAGCCTTTTGTTGGTTGGTTGGTTAGTTGTCAGCCTTATGTTGGATGGTTGGTTAGTTGGTTGGTTAGTTGTAAGCCTTAATTTGGATAGTCGGTTGGTTGTTTAGTTGTCAGCCTTTTGCTGGTTGGTTCTTTGGCTGGTTGGTTTTTAGCCTTTTGTTTGATGGTTGTTGGTTAGTGTCAGCCCTTGGTTGGTTGGTTGTTTCTCAGACCTTTGTTGGTTAATTGTTAGCGCTTTGTTGGTTGGTTGGCTGGATGGTTCGTTATCATCCCTTTGTTGGTTGGTTGATTAGTTGCCAGACCTTTTGTTGGTTGGTTGGTTCGTTATCATCCCTTTTTTGGTTGGTTGGTTGGTCAGTTGTCGGCCCTTGGTTGGTTGGTTGGTTGGTTGGATGGTTAGTTATCATCCCTTTGTTGGTTGGGTGATTAGTTGCCAGACCGTTGGTTGGTTGGTTGGTTGGTTGCTTGGTTGGTTGGTTGTCATCCCTTTGTTGGTTGGTTCGTTATCATCCCTTTTTTGGTTGGTTTGTTGGTTGGTCAGTTGTCAGCCCTTGGTTGGTTGGTTGGTTGGTCAGTGTCAGCCTTTGGTTGGTTGGTTGGACGGTTGTATATCATCCCTTTGTTGGTTGGTTGGTTGGTTATCATCCCTTTTTTTTGGTTGGTTGGTTGGTCAGTTGTCAGCCCTTGGTTGGTTGGTTGAACGGTAAGTTATCATCCCTTTGTTGGTTGGTTGGTTGGTTGGGTATCCTCTCTTTGTTGGTTGGTTGGACTGTAAGTTATCATCCCTTTGTTGGTTGGTTGGACTGTAAGTTATCATCCCTTTGTTGGTTGGTTGGTTGGTTGTTTGATTTGTTATCATCTCTTTGTGGGTTGGTTGGTTGATTGGTTAGTTGCCAGCCCTTTGGTGGTTGCTGGGTTGGTTATTTACGAGCCCTTTGTTGGTTGTTGGGTTAGTTGGCTATAAGCCTTTTACTGGGTTATTTGGGTTATGTTTTGGCCTGACCTTGCAGGCTGCTTTTAGTTTATCTTATGGTTAGTCTGATCTGTTGACTGATCTTTCAGTTTATATGGACTCATCTTTTGGTTGTAGTTTGTTTCTTGTATTTGATGGTAGTTGGTGAGTTTCTGGACGTTTGTTCAATCAGACACCCAGTCTGATGATTGTTTGGTTGGTTGGTTGATTTTAGGCATTTATAAACATTTAGATGTTTATAAAGCAGATGTCTGAATCCCTTTGTGTATTTAACTGAAACACAGAAAGCCATGAAATTTCTGGAATGTGGGGTTTAAAAAGCTCATCCAAGACGTTTGATCAGTTACCAGGCAAAGCAGACAGTGGTAAATGTAGCCTCCAGCAAGAAGCCAAGACAGCCTAGAATGGAGAGGCTAAATGTATTTAGTTTAAACATAAAGTTGATCTGAGATCCAGCTGGATGGTACATTTACTACAGAAGCTGATTCAGCTTTGAATACTCCCACTCAGACAGCTTTATTTTGAAGCCCTCGGCACTACACAGCTCATAAAACCAAACATAAACAAACAACATGGCTGCCTGGGAGAAAGAGTGGTTGCTACATCAACTCTAAACAGTGACTGTGAGATGAGTTATTCCACGTTGGTTTGTCCCACAGATGAACCCTCAGCGGTGTCTCTGCTCCTCCATAGGGACTAATATCAAAGCAACACGTATGTCTGACATCATTATCTAAATCACTTCAAAGCTGCTCCGCAACAAACACTTGAAATTTGTTTCACAACAACTTGAACATTAATTAGCTTCAGAAAGCAAAGCAAGTAAAGAGAGCAGCATTTATTTCCATCTGATCAGGAGAAGTGGAGCCATTCAACACTGATGGCTCTGCTAATGAATTGATTAGTGAGGCAAATGGATCCGTTTGGTCTCCTGAGAGCTGATGGGGAGGATAAATGTGAAGATGGTCACTTTCTGTTTGGTTCTGTTAAAAATTATAGAGTTTTACTGGAGGGTTCTGCTGCTGAGAGTTTTTAGATGATTTACTGCTTATAAATGTTTGACTCATTAAATGTTGATGGACATGGATTAGATCCGCCCATAGACTGTATGGATTAAACGGATAGATGTAGATCTACCTCATCCAGAGAGTCTAACATCTATTTGTGTTTCTGCCTCAGATGACTCCGACTGCTACATGTTCCCCCTGGGACCCTGCACCACCCTGAACCCCACCAGCCTGCTCTCCCTGAAGCAGAGCCAGATTGGCTCGGCCGTCAGCCTGCTGGAGTACCACTGCCTTAAGAACTGCTGGTCGCCTCCAGAGTACCACCTGTACTCCAGCAGCGGACAGGACGGGAAGCTGCTGCTGCTCTACAAGGTCTTTTCTCATCGCTCACATGACCGAATTCCCCAATAAAGTCGTTTGTGTTGGAATGCTAAGAACCCAGTGAGCTGTGAAACTATCAGCAGCTGTACTGTTTTAATGAAGGTGGTGCTGCCGTCCACTCGAGCCTCCTACTTCCCCGATAAGCTGTGTGTCCTGCTGGATGACGCCAAGGAGCTGGCAGCTCAGACCACGCTGTGGAACCTGGGTAAGAAACACGCTTCGACTCACAGCTGCTCACGCACATCCTCCATGTTGGTTTAGTGTGAGGAAACGATGCGATCTGAATCTATTCAATATAGTTTTCAAGAAGAAACCTGGATGTTATGGTCAGAGGTTGATCTCAGCAGGACAACAGAGGAGGGTTTGGATCAGTGCTGCAGTAATCCAGTAGGGAGGTCCTCCTTCCTGCAGCTTATATATGCAGCATTCAAAACACCTGAATCAGATCAGTCGCTCGTTACCAGGGAGTTCAGCCATTAAATCAATGGCTGCGTTCAAATTAACGGGCTGCGTCTTCCAAGGAACCGGTCTATCTGGACTGGGTCCTTGGTAGTCCGTTAAAATAAGGAGACCGGAAGTGTTTTGGCTGTGAATTCAAACAGCTTACACCGCTGTACGCTATGTTGCTTAGCAACCACAACAGTTGACACACAAATCAGCAAAAGAATGAATACCTGAGTACTTTTAAATTTTTCTTTTAAATTTTCTTTCTTTTTTTTACTGTAAAGTGAACAAAGACTACACTCTTGAGAATCCAGAGTGGAATAAAGGTTCCAACCACCAGGAGCATCAACAAATAAAAGCCAATGTAATGATAGAAACATTAGTCAGTTAAATAACATGCTATTGTAATTTTGTACATCTCTGATGTTGCTGTTATTTTCAAATATCCATTACTGTAAAAATGTCCATAGCTGTATGTTGGTTACCGTAATTTTCGGACTATTATCTGCACCTGAATATAAGCAGCAGAAGCTAAATTGATGGATTTTTACATATTCAAGCCGCACCGGACTATAAGCCGCAGGTTTTTTATGTTTAAGGTCCGTCTTTCTCGCTGTCGTTCTGTCTCGTACCACTCACGATAGAAGTCTGCTTCCGGAGGACCTCCGCATTCCCCCGCGCACGGCTTCCGTACTTGTGTGTTGAAGCAAATGTGACGTCTACATGGTGGATGGTAAAATCCATAGATTTAGGTATTACGCTAGTGGCCGTTAGCTAACTCGCATTGTTATATAAGCCGCAAGGTCAAAAAATGGGGAAAAAGTTGCGGCTTATATTCCGAAAGTTACATTATTTATTCTCCAGGTACACAGTTTATTCTGATCCAACTTTCATTCTTATTAGCTATGCCTGCATTATATTTCCTGATCTGATTGAAACGACTCAAAAACAGAAACTACTCATGTTGCTCATTTACATGGACAAAAGTAAGCAGAGAAAAACGGCTAATTAGGCTAAAAATCTGTTATTTATAAGTGGGTCTAGCCAAACGAAGCAGAAATAAACCAATGCCCATGCTAGCTAGGGTTAGCCTGCCTCATCTAGAATAACCCGATCCTGACAAATGTTCTTTGACCAATCAGATTGTCAGTCTGCATAAAAAACACCCCTCAGTTGGATAATAAGCTCCAATCACATTATTCCCTCTGACATGTTTAAGTGACACAGTTTCAGTCTGATCGGCCGCTTATTACTTCATGTCCATGAAAACGTAGCTACAGATGACAGTGCTAGCAAGAGGTAAATACTGCTGCACATTTCTATGGCTCCTGGAAAGTTCTTGAATGTTCTGGTGAAGATTCTCAGTCATCCAGGTCATACCTTTATATGTTAATTCCTGTCTCATTACTGGATGTGTCCCAACATGCTGTTCTACAACCTCTGATCAAAAAGAAAAATCTAGATCTCTCTGTGTTGTCCAACTTTAGGCCGATCTCTAAATTGCCATTTTTATCTAAGATTTTAGAGAAAGTCTTTTTTATTCAGATTTAGTCTTAATGGCCAATGATATATATGAGAAGTTTCAATCTGGCTTCAAACCTTTTCATAGCACTGAGACAGCACTGTTGACAGTTATTAATGATTTAATGGTTGATTTAGGAAATTCTGCTGGTGCTCCTTGATCTTAGCTGCCTTTGACGCTTTGGACCATGGGATTCTCCTGGCGCGACTTGAGCAGTGGGTGTGCATTACAGGTTCTGCTCTCTCATGGTTCCAGTCTTATCTGACTGATGGGAGCTTTTCTGTGCAGTTAGGTGAATTCACCTGATCTTCAGCTCCTATCAGGTCTGGGGTTCCCCAAGGCTCCATTCTTGGACCAATTCCTGTAGTATAAAGCCTCGAACTCAACGTTATTCCTGACATTTTGAATCAAAAAAGCTTCCTGGATGGAAGCAAAATGTCTTCAAACTTAGGAACAAAGTCCATTGTTTTTTTTTATTTTCTTTTTTTGGAAAGTTCTTGAATTTTAAATCAACCAAGGTGAGGAAACCCTGAGAAAAGACGTTTTTACAAATTCTCTCTGTTCGTTCTGGCTGAGCTTCAGCTGTTTACTAAAGACGAATGGCCCAAAATGTCAGGGAGTGACAGAGGAGAGCTGGCGACAAATGCATGCCACACTTTTCAGATTTTATGAAGGTTATTCTGAAAATAAATGATCTTTTCATCCATTTCACCTGTAGTTGTCCCCTTAAAATTCCAACAAATGTCCAAAATGTAAATGAAGTGAAGGGGTGTGAATACTTTCTAAGGATCTATATAGGCCTGCATTTTTTTTTATGAGAAACTGTGACCTAACTAATTAAATTATCTGTATTTTTGAAGATGAAAATGTTTTTAAGGCATCTCTGCTGCTCAGAGAAGCTGGTATTTCCAACTATTTCTCGCCTGGCTCCTCTCCATCCCTCATGTTTCCCAGTTTGTTAAAAGGTCAGAGGGGCGTCTCACCGACACCCTCCCAGCTGGATCTCAGCAGGAACGTATGCAGAAATATGCAGAGTGTCTAATCTCAGCGCTGCGGCTGTGATCTGAGAGCCACCTCCATGTTTTATGGATGGAGTTTAGCCGCCGCTTCACCCTCGGTGTCATAAACACTGACCCTCTTTGTTTTAATGGCCTCCATGATGAGCTGGTAGTAATCTGCAGCACATCCCTCCTCATGCATTTTAAAACACTCAAGACCTGCCGCTGCTGCTCGGAGTCGCTCTGCCATCATCATTTATTTAGACCCATGCCTGTCCTCTCTGCTGCAGACATCAGACCCAATAAAGCAGGTTCAGGAACCTGTAGGGGCCTCTTGGTCGGCCCCAGAAGGACTAAGTTAGTGTGAAGAGCAGAAACCGCAGAGCACGACCGTGTTTGGCATCCAGGTGGAACGCCACAGCATCTGTCAGAGTCTGAACGGGAGCCAGGCGGGGCGGCGGCTGCCAGCGCCGCTCTGCACCGCAGCTCTGCTACACGGGGAAAATCTTCAACGCTTGTTTGTGATTTCTCACCTGGAAGCAGGAGAGCATCTTCAGATTCCAGATGTTCCTGTTCGGTTCCTGATTTGAAACTTTTTCCAGCTGCAGGAGCTTAAATTTGGCCTCATTTATTAATTGTTTGAAGGTCTTTTTTTTTTTTTTGCTTCATTCTGATTATTAAATGCACAGAGAGCTGCTGAACGCATCGACACAGCTGGCCTGGTTTAAAAATGGCCGTTTGAGATTACAGTAGAGACGTAAGGTCAACTGGAGCCACAGCGGCTTTACGTCAGGACGCTATCTGCTGGAAGCCCTCACAGGATTCTGTTTCCGCTTTATTTCTCACTCTACAGGGTTTCCACGGGTCATTAAAAATCATTAAAATTCATTAAATTTGTATTTTTTTTTATGAAGGCCTTAATTGGCATTAAAATTCATTAAATTTGATTATTGGGCATTTAAAATGCTTTATTTGAAAAACAAAAAAGTTTATAAAAACAATTTCATCACATATATTATATCGCAATATATTTGCGCGGAATTGGTAACAGAGAGAATGGGAAAATGCTAATTTCAAAAAAAGTGTCTGGAAAACAAATAATTCAGGACATGGCTGCAGCCTGTCGAGGGTAAAGATGAAGGATAAATAGAAAAAAAATGTAAAAAAGACAATATAATCAAATAAAAACTCTAAAGTGATGTAAAAACAAAATCACAAATATTCTTGCATTCTTATTCAGCCATTTCTAAATGAGAATCTTCAGCATTGTCAGGTGGTTTTATTGTTCATAATCTTTCCAGACATTGACTTTACCTAATTTTTTTTTTTATCATCTGAAAAATATTCAGAATAAATCTCCTGTCAGTTCCGCCACATCAGGTCTATCTATTATTCAAACATTTCATATACTTTTTTGTTCTGTGCTGAAGAATTTGTTTCTTTTTATCAAAATGCACCAAATGTGACTAAAATTCACAATAAAACAAGCAACATACCCCACTAGGATCTTAATGTACTTTCACACACTTGTTAATAAAATATGTAAAATTCAAGAGATATTTTTTTTTTGGATGAATGTAAAATTATTAGTTTTTTGACATACATTTGATTATTATAACCATTTGTAAGTACTTAATAAACTATTAAGAATAAAATAAAAGATGATGAAGGATTTTGCCATGTTTCATATATATATACATATATATATATTAGGAGTGCAGCTAAACAAATCCTTCAGTCCCACCTTCTATAAACCTGAAATAATCCCTTAAATCCTGTAAAGATCTGTTCCTTCCTCTCTTTCTTCAATCTTTGCTTTTTTAACACAGCAGACCTGAAATGTGATCAACCTCCTTTACATCTCTTGGGTTTTCTTTTTCTTCGAATCTCGTTTTCCTTCAAATACAGAGGATCCATAATCCAAGACGAGCGTCTGACAGATGTCCTGACATCAGCATGAAGGGGAAATGAGACGAAGTGGTAAAATGGGACAAAACAGCTAAAAGGTTTAAAGAAGTGAGGCGGCTCATTCTGGTCCAGAAGTTCTGAAGCAGAACCCAGCCGCCAGAACCTGCTCATTAAAGCGGTTTTCCCTTTTCTTTTTCCGGATGCAACTGTGAGAAGAAGGGCGAATAAAGCCAGAGCAGATCCTGTGGAGGATGCTTTAATCGAACTTTTTTATTCCCCTCCATCTCTACAGGAGGCTGAATATATTTGCCTCCGATGGAGCTCACAGCAGCTACAGAACATCCTCTGATTTTATTTCTCCTGTTTTTCTCCTTCATCTCTTCTTCTTGATGTCTTCATTAATCCACGCTGCTCCTGCAGAAGCAGAATCTCCCCCTCACAGATGATGACTCCTAATATAACTGCTATGTTAAAAAACAAAACAAAAACACATCTGTGTCATTTGATCATTTTGCAAAAATACAGATTGATTTTTTTATATATTCACAAAAACTCCCTTTAATCAGATTCATTTTAACACTTTAAATAGTCTATTTAATTCCTAATTACAATAAGGTTCACTGAAAACCAGTTGATCATTTGATGCTAATGAGGTTTTATATCTAAAGATCTGAGTCTGTGTGGCTGAAATGGGTCCAGAGTTCTTCCAGTAGAAAGAGAAACAGAAGAAAGCATATTATTAACTGATATAAACGTGTCCAGAAGACAAACTAGTCCTTGTTTTTATCTGCCCCACTTGGCCTGGCTCTACTCCACCCTACTTTTTTAACCCTTTCCATTACGGCTTCTTTGGTACCGTACTGGGCCTTTTTCTATTCTGCTTGGTCCAACTCCTGAGAATGGCTGAAAAAAGCCAACACCAGTACCGAGAAAGCAGCAATGGAAACTGGTGGGTTGGATTAGAGGTCTACAGGTCTACTGGTCTACAGAGAGTTACGGTAATTTATATACTCTGTCTTATTGACTAAGTTAAAATTAACATGAACATATGTGCTTTCACTGATAGAATAACATTAAATTCTGCCATCTTCTATGCTAATCCGTGCCGGAAGCACGAACCATTCTGCGCTCATTTGTGCATCCGGGTCTCCCTCGATTTTATTTTGTTAAAAAGACCTGAATGACATTTTACCCTCCCCCAAAAATAGTAAAAATACTAAAATATAATGTGTTAAAGGTTAATAATGTATAATAATGTATTTCCTGAGAAAATAAATGCCTTACAATCCTTTCTGTTTTATCACTCGTCTCTGCCCGATCTGCACTGGTAATGGGATCCTACACTACTTCTGTTATGATTTTATCTAGAGCTCTGACCCACATGCAGAAGCCCAAACAGAGAGACCAGGGAAAAGTTTAACAGGTTTATTTTGAATAGATTGAGAAGGGTCCAGTGCTGCTCTGAACACTGCCGAACCGGGACTGTAAAGTGAAGGGGAAGAGTCTGCGGTTAGTTCAGGCTCAGTGGGAAATTTGTGTTTTTGACTTGAAGAAGGGAATTTAGGCCATAGGACTCACGTTTCCAGAAAAAGGTGTCTCTAATTGAATCCAGTCGGTGTGGGTTGTTCCAGTAAAGACTTGCTCGTTGGAGGGCGGACAGGGTTTACCCAGATTGTGGTTTTTCCTTGAGGAACGGAGGAGCTGACTGCCACTTAATTTTCCTGCGGTACTTCAAAGGTTCTTGTGGAGATGAATCCCCTGCTCAGAGAGACGCCCAGACAATCCTTAGGGGAAAAGTAGATCCAAAACACAAGCTCGAATCATCAGCTCAGTTTGGTGCTCAGAGAATCCTGCCAGGGGGAGAAGGTCCAAAACATCCAGTTTGCAGGTTGACTTCCTGCCGAGAGGCAAAGACAAAACAACAAGGTTAAAGTCATGTTGAAAAAAACTCAGCATGGCTATAGTACCCCAAACTGGCAAACACTGGCGTCGAGGTAGTGGCAGTCAGCAGCTTAAGAGTCTCAGGTAATGAGACAACGAGCGGCAGGTGTGCAGGGAGGCCCAATGAGGACGGGGCACCACCTGGTGGAGAAGGAAAGGAAACACAAAAACCCCCCACAAAAACTGGATTCTTGACAACTTCCAGTGGCTTAACTTTTTCGGCTTTGGATTTAAACATAAATTTTGAGTTTTATGTTTTCGTTTTGTTTCAACCTTATCGTATATAGTGCAGTCATTTTACCACCATAATTATATTATTTATAGACACCCGGATGTATATCTGTTCATGCATGCGCACAATGGATCATGCTTCCGGGACGTATCGAGTAGTGACAAGGCTAGCTAAAAGGTTAAGGCTAGCTAAAAGGTTAGGGCTAACTAAAAGGTTAAGGCTAGCTTAAAGGTTAGGGCTAACTAAACGGTTAAGGCTAGCTAAAAGGTTAGGGCTAGCTAAAATGTGTGTTTGTTCAGTAACTCTAGCGTGTTGGCTTCACTTAATCCATTCAGCTAGCTAAATTACGCTTTGAGGACAAAATTAGCTAAAATGCTAAAATTTAATAAAAATCTAAATTATATAATTTTGGTTAACAATGACAGGTAACAAGCAGTAATTGAACCTATCTGCTGATTTTTGTCGTATCAATGGCCGCTACTGATGCTACAGTAAAAAGAGAGGATTCTATCTAGAACGTTCTGTGGGATCTAAATAATCACCCAGCATCCTTCCTTCCAGATTCTTCCATCCTGTCTGGACCTTTGTACGATTCGCCCAGAAGCCTCTCCCCTCCTTTCACCATGTCCACCTCTGATGGCAGTCCCAGCATCCTGAGCTGTGGGGGACAGACCTACACCCCGTGCCTCCCCGTCGCCCCTCCACCCCCTCCCTCGCCGTCCCCCTTCTCCATCCCTCCCCTGCAGTCTCTCTCCATGTTCTCCCCCGCTGTGTCCCATGCGATGCGGCTCTGCATGAACTCCCAGTCTTCGTTCTACTGAGGGTGAGGCCCACACACGTTCCACCTCTACTTCAGGAACAGGCAAAATAAATCGGTTCAGATACTTTAACATTAAATGCAGAATACGGAGGGTGAAAAGTGCTGCAATACAATAAGTATATAACTTATAAAATAATTAGAATATGTCATTAATTTATTAACGTTAGGAATAAATACAGAATTAATTAAATGAATGTATTATTATTTATATGTGTCTCAGTTAATTTTATCTAAAGAGAGGATTATAATTATTTTGGGATTTAATAAATGTATTCAATTAATTTAAACTGTCACACATCCATCAAAGTCAATGAAGGAGAACTTTTCTAATGACGGAGTAAAAGAAAACCAGGGTAGGATATTTTTGTGCAACGCAATAAGAAGCAGCCAATCAGAGGTCCCGGTGGCTACGGATGCAGCTATAGTCCCGCCTCGTTGACTTTGATGGATAAGTGAGAATTTTAAAGATTTCATGGTGGGTAAAGTAAAATCAATTACTATCTCAATCAATAAATTAATTCATTTTAACTAAGCCCATATAATTAGTTGTAGATTTTAAATAAATAAAAATGTTATATAATAAATGCATCACACATTTAAATAATAACTTATTGAATTGTGGCACTCGTCGCCCTCCAGAGTAAAAAACTAATTTTTCATCAGAAACTTAAAATACTTCCACAGTTGATTCAAAATTATTTTTTTTTTTTTATGTAAATTCTTTCTTGTAGCTTCTAAGAATCAAACAAACAACTCTTTAAAAACAGGGGGCAGCCATGTTGCGTGACACAACATTGCATCTTGAAAGAAACGGGAAAGTGTTTGGTGTTATTAGCATTAGCAACACCAGCCATTTTTTTTTAAATGTCACAGAAAAGTGAGGATAATTACACTGGTTTTAATATTTCCTGTTAAAACGCCCATTAGACGTGTTAACAGAAGAAGGACATGCAGTCAAAAAGAAGCAGAGCTGCTCTTCAGCACCTCTAGTGGCAGAAAGAAGCATAAAAGAAACATCAAAGACAAATGGCCTCTTCTTAATGTGTCAGTGTGGGGGTGGTGATTGGTTGAAGACCCAAATGTAGAGACGAGGGAGGCAGAGATGAGTTCTTTCAGGTGTGATAAAATGTAAAAGATAACAGAAACAAAATCCAAGAATCAAACCAAATAGCAAGGAGACGCCAGGAGAAAACACACATGGGGAGCTAAGTATGGCTGTTGTCGAAATTTATGGGCTGCGTCTTCCTATCTTGACTGGATCCTTCAAAGTCCATGAAAATAAGCAGACCGCAAGAGTTTTGGCT